ACAACTAACTACTGTAATGGCACATTCCTTTGCACGTTGTGTGCTTCTGGAACGTCTACCAGTAATACGAGTAGTGACAATGACATAACTCTTAAACGATATAATATGAAAACTACAAGATGAAGGTGCTTACTCTCTAAACCATAGAGTGAAGAGAATGAAGTTTGCCTCAAATTTCCTCCTTAATGACATCTACAGCACCTGACGCTTAGCAGTAATAGTTCAAACAATTCGGTCATAAAGCCAAAGGGAGATTATCACACAGTTGTAAATTTTAGTCAGCCTAATTATGTGCCCTGATTGGTCCAATTGGTAGAGTACCTATAACTTAACTCCGAGCCACAACGGTAATAAGCCGCATACAAAGCACAACAAGAGAAACGAAAAAATTTTTACGCTTATCTCCCACCAAAAAATTTCCAGGAGGAATAGCACTGCATGCATACATACACACGTGCTGCTCCAATCAAACTCGTCGAGGTTGAATAAACGCTGAGTATATGTCTCAGTGTCCACAGTGGAAAAGATTTACCAAGTTATGCTCTGAGATGAAGTCTTGGACAGTTTTCGATACTTTTTCTGTGTTTCTGCTTCCACCTCTTCCACTCCCGCTTGAATTTCTCAACTGCGGTTTGTATGGTCTGGGCTAGCGGGAGAGATGATCCGTCTAAAATACTTCTATGATTTGGTTTCCAGTAAAGCGGTGTTGATTACGCGTACAAAGCGAAGATTCGTTCTACTGTTGGCAGGTGCCTTGATAATAGCGTGTGTACAATTGCTGTATTCTCATTTCCACTCTACAATACTGAGCGAAAGCCGTATACGCGCTGATGCAACGTTGAGAACACACTACCCCAACCCATATTTCGAGACGGAGGATGGGTTCAAAGTCATTGCTGAGCATAAGGGGAAACATACGTCCCTCGAAGGTGATGTTCATACTATTCTGGATTACACTGAGGAGGAGTACTATCTGAATGACGAGTACCCAGAATTCATGAACAAGGAACGTTTAGACGCTGAACTGAATAGGCAGTCAACGTTCAAGAAGTTTGTCTCTGAGCTGTTAGAGAACATCCTCAGCTCAAAACCTAGCATCGAGGCGATAAACAACTCGAACCACTACAATGCGTCCAACGTATACCAGAAAACAAGAATGCATAAGATGCCGACACTTTTAGGGAAACTGCGTGAGAATAATGGGGTTGATCCAATAAGAAGTAAAGAATACCTTAGAAGTTATATGCAGCTCAGTGAAGATGAGATGGCACAGATGAAGG